CTTACTAATATAGCTCCAGCATGATGTGTAATTATATTCATTAAAAAAATCAGATGCTTATGAACTTTATGAACGCATCAGCTGCCACCTGCTGGGGAAAAAGAGGCACTGCAACAGACCTCAAACAGAATCAATACAATAGGAAAAGCATCATGATGGGATGTAGTTAACCATCAAATTGAAACTGACTTTATGTGTGGGATCCCAATGTGTGTATTGTGTAAAAATAATAGTAATAATTTGACATTTTAAATAACATTTTGTCTTAATATGTTCCCCTGGGCTAATCAAAAGCTAAAGGTTTGCTTATAGTAATATTGCTTGTATTTGGGTTCAGTTTAACTCAAAAAGTACAGTGTAGAAAAATACAAACACAAATTAAACAGTCAAATAAAAACAAACTGAAGGGTGTGTATAACAATAAAAAAAAAATTCAGGGGAAAACGCTGCCTTTTTTATTTGATGCCTTGTTTTTGTTTTATGGCTTTAAGCAAAATAAATAAATAAATTATATATATATATATATATATATATATATAATCTTGTAAGAAAGATATATATTTATGTATATGGCTTAATTTGGAGCCTTTAAGCTAAAAAATGCATTTAAGAAGATTTTATTTTGGGACAAAGAAAAATAAATAAAAAAATTTTAAGCTATTAAAAGGTTGTGGAATCATATACATTTAAAATGTGTGTGTGTGTGTGTGTACACATATGTATTTTTGTATATTTTTAACATTTTATTACTTATGATATATGAAGCTTATTTTCTGGACAGTGTTATATGAAAATTTTACAACAACAACAAAAAAGAGAAAGAAACGTCACAAAGGCAAATTATTTTTGATCGTTTTCTTCTCATTTTTAAGAATTTTTTTTTTTTCTGTTTCTGCTCACAGGACAACCAAGATTATGAGCCAGAGGCATAAACATCACATTCCAAGTCCAAGTTCAGCCAGCAGCACAAAACGTTTATACAAATAACAAGTACAAATCCTAAACACAATAAACCCTGTTGCAAAAACAAACAAAAAGTAAAATAAACAAACAAAAATATATATTCCAGTTAATCCTTCTGAGAAATGTTCTTCCTATCAGATATATACTTTTATTATGATCTATTGTAAATGTCATGTTCTGAAGGTAACGTGTTGGATGTAGCTCTATGCTGACTGCCGGAGGGTGCTCTGTCTCGTTTCCTTGCCTCCCTCCCAATGAAACGAGACCTGCCCTTTCCATTGTGACTCTTTGTACTTGTGTACCTGCATTTCTATATATGTAATAGATGTTTCAGATCTTCCAATAGCATATTGGGGGTTAAAATATCTTTGGGTAAATATGATATTATATATAGCTGTGTGCAATGCCTGTTTGTGGGATTTTACTTTCATTTTCAATTTAATATTGAAGCAAGCTATTTCTTTAATGTTTTTGAAGTAAGAGTTTTATACGTTGTAACTTTATAGTTGCTTGTGATATCATTCCAGTGGATTATTTGTTAGAATTGGGCAATTTGTATCTGTGTGTATGTATGCGTTTGTGTACTGGAGACTTTAAAGTTATTGTAAATGTGTCTTGAAATGTTCATGGATGTGAGGTCAATATGTGCTTTACAATGCTGGAAATGTCAATATTAAGGTTTCTGTGTCATTCAAGACAAGTGAATCCTCTGTAAATAAAGAAAACAAACAAAAAAGCTCCATGCGTAGTCCTCTTTTTCTTTCTTTTCCCAAAAGCTATGTCTGTATACAGTATGCAACACTATCACAGCACCACACAGAAATCACCATAAGCATGTAAGAACATATTGGCATTCAATAACAAAAGGTCAAAACAAGTGCTTATAATAATTATCTACCACTTAGTTTGCTGTTTTATTACAGATTTATTATTATTCCATCTTTTGGCTTCCAGAAATATTACAGAGAAACTAACAGGGAGTGACGTCCTCCCTCCTGTCCTCTTATCAACAGGATGTCTGGCTGTGTCTCCAGAACAGAACGTAGTGCTCTACAGACATGCTGAGCCCAGCAGAATGAGTGTGGTGCCATAGCTCAATAGCTGGCATACCTGCATAAGCCGGGCACCATTGATGGATTAGCATGTGCAATCACAGGGGAATGTGGTGCCCTCCGGCAGCAGAGGGTATTTAAGGGCCCCCGCTGGCAGTGTCCCGCTTACGCCGAGCCGGTAGGACTGAGTGTGTATGTGCTCAGTATCATGGCTTCCTTTAAGAAGTCTCTGGAGGGGCTGAAGAACACAACACAGTCAGCTACTAAAGGCGTCACTGACAGTGCAGGTACTAATAGTTACACGCTGCTCATCTGGGCTGTCATTTGTTTATTTGGTAACATTCGTTTTTAATTTATGAAAGAACAGCTGTCTACTTGCTATATATGTTTTATTATTGTGCCACTGAGTGAACTTTGACCAACAAAATGTTTTCATTTAACATTAAATACATTTAATTATTTTATCATTTATTTGCTGAATTTTTCATGTTTATTATTATTATTATTAGCTATACTTTTGATTTGGTTTTAAAATGTTTTACATTTTAAGATTTTTTTTTTTTTAAGATTGTTTATTTCAAAATTTCCATCAAATTAAAGTACATGAGTAAATTATATATATATATATAAAACTTTATGTTTTAAGCTATACAGTGTGATAACTGGCAGCGAAACTATCTTCACTTTGGCATTAATTAAAATAATTTACTTGACAAAGTTAAGCATATTTAAATAATTACAAATTATATACCATTTAATTAAGTATTATTTATTTATTTGAGTGAGTGCGTGTGTCGTACATTTCACCATGCATTAACAAAAAATGTTATACTGCTTTTTAGAGACCTTTGTCAATGTGTGTGAAAAACAACCAGCATGTTTGATAATGTTATTTCAGTCCAGGCAACGCAAGATGTCATGCACCAGGTGGCAGAGTCTTCCAAAGAAACCACCAGTGCAGGTGAGAGAAAGAGTCTGTTAAATACATCTGGATAAAGATGCACTTAAATGTGGATGTGTGTGATTTCACAGCTTTTCAGTGTATGCAAATCATCCACAATCATATTGTACTGCACACTGATAATATACTATAACATAATTTTGGCATGCCATTAATGTTATAAATCTAAAAATGTGATTGTATTGTTTTCCTTATATCTACCAGTTTATTTGTATGTTGCACCATGAAGAATATGCAAATGCATCCCTAAAGGAACTCTCTGTCTCTGTCTCTGTGCATGTGTATATATACAAACAGCTGCTGAGGAGGCGTCCAGACAAACACAGTCTGCTATAGGCACAGCTGCAGAGAAAGCATCAGACACCATTAAGGAGTTTGGACACAAATTGAGTTCCAAATAAATGCTGCACTGCCCAAACAATCTGACATTCCTTGTTATCAGATTCAACTTAACACCTTGTGAACTGAATCATTAAAAAAAAAAAAATTGTATTAGCGACTTTGTAAACGTATCAGCTCGATTTCACCTGCCCTTCCAAAGCAGATTATTTCCTAAAGATTTTATTTCAGTTTAATTGTTGGTCATCCTATATTCCAAAGCCTGTTCAAAGATGCTTGTGTTTCGAAAATACACAATACATTCCGTTCAGCTGCTGCAGTGTCTCTTTATAGCCATCCTACGTACTTTTCTATTCTAGTGAAATACAATGTGAGGATATAGAGTGTGCAAGGACACGTCAACCACTTTCTTAGTAAAGAACCCCTTCAATTATTATTATTATTATTATTATTATTCTCAGCTCCCATGTCACTGGAAGAGGAAACGGCATTATGTTGCTATGGCAACATAACACAGGTAGACCACAGTGAAAGAACTTTCATTCAAAAGTGAATGAACTCAGTATTCCTGTGGATGTCAAGAGATGATGCTTTTGATTACAAACAATAACCCCTTAAATAACATGCCACATGTTGGCTGCTACTCACCTACATGTGCATCCTGTTTCAGATGTGTTGCACAACTTAAAATCAGTCTTTATCAATTCAGTGTAGTTACAGAAAAAAATACAGAGGGGATCATTTCAATTTTTTTAAGTTCATTATATAGTTGAAGCTGATTTTTATTCAGGATGTAACAAGCGTAGCTGACATTTTCATTATGGATGCATTAGCCCTATAGATTAACACTATATATTTCATGCATGGAAAGCTGCTGAGAATGAGCTGCTCTCACCCTTAAAATCAATGTGTGGAATATTTCCTGCAAAGTTCAGGAACAGATATGCTTTGTGTCAAGCACTTAATGTCAAACCTGCCATAAGAGCAGCAGCTGAGCCCATTATACCTTATTACATGTGCTGTCTAAGGTGTTGAACAGACTTGGTCTGATTTCAGGCAGCTGAAAGTAAGAATAATCTATAGGTCCTTTCCAGTTCCTTTAAAATACAAATATAATATGGAATGTTTATTTTGCAATTATGGCATGTACATTTTTAGAAAAATCATCATATGATGCCAGAATGTGTAGGTGTCTATAAAAGCTATTAAATAGAAACAAATATATTGAGCTCTTTATTAACTCTTTATTAAGGCAAGATATATCACCATACTTCTCCAGTTGATTGATTACATTAAGAATTGCAAACATTTTTTATTACAAGTTTTCTGAAATGTTATGTTTAAATATCTAAATGAGACATTATCTAATTAAATATTAAGTAATAATAAGTCTAGAATAAAAATCTGAACACTGTATGAAGCCAGGATCAAAATTCTTGTTTCATTGTTGACATATTAGAGTCAAAGGTTTTTACAAAAGATACCTCTTTTTGTCCCACAAAAAATACTGTCAACAGCCAGAATATATATGTATGTGTTTTATGAAATCAGAAAAATTATATATGCACAAACCCAAGTTTTCTGGCTCAGTGCAGGAGAAAAATCTCATTTTGAGAAAGAAAAACAAAACAAAAAGTATTTTGAATGTTTTCTTTCCATTGTCTGAAAAAAAACACTTTATGAAAAGCTAATAAGCCCAAAATCTCAAAATTGGCCAAATGCATGAAAAAAAACGATTTTTGCTTGTAGTGTTTAGCCTTAAATAAATAAGCTGTTTTATATTGGCATTAAAGCAGTCAACATGTACCCATTAGTGTTCATGTCAATGGTAGATGCAAATGTCAAACTGTTTCATCCTGAGGAAAGGTTTCTCACCACAACTTAATTTACAGTTGATCTCCAGCACTTTTGGCCCTCTCCCCCGTATTCTCCACCTCCACATCCCCTTCATCTTTACATCCCTATCCATCTCCTCCTCCTCCTCATCATTCGCCTGCAATGACAGGCAGCATCCTCTTGTTTTCAGAATATGGCATGTGTTGTCTGAACACTCCCCCACTATTACCATGAACACAGTCACCTCCCTCCCCCCCTGCATGTACATGGCTGGTTGCTAGGCAACAAGTATTCTGTGGGAGCGTGAGATTGGCAAAAGCCCTCAATTCTTATGGTGAGAACATAGGCGATAGAATACAGCTCTCCAGAACACACTCCTTTTCATGGTGAGGTGCAATGGGCCAGTGTGCAAGCACATGCATGAATCCAAAAAGCATGAAGTTCACTACTTACCTGCAGTTCACAAAAATTCAGACAGAATATTAATTAGAAGGTTTTTTACATAATTGCAGCAGTATAGTGACCTACACCGTCCACCATCATGTGAAGAAAACAAAAACAGATGAAAATGTGATTTCAATCTATATATACTCATTTTGTTATATAAGAAAAACTAAATTGTATCAAATGTTTTGTTCCAGAGATCACAAAGACACTACTGGTGCATCCTTTTAGTGTATTGTCTGCCAAAGTAAATGCATTTCATATAAGTTTTTATTACATAAGAGCCTTGTTTTGTTTTGTTTTTTGACACATGGACTTTAATCACCATCATTTGCTTCTGATTAAAAAGCTACAGATACTTTGTCATTTCATTACCACTCACTGCCATGTTGAGTCTGGTTTCCAGGGAAACTAAAAATCAGAAGCTTTCAGTACTCTCAACCACAGTGAAATTTCAAGGACCGCCATCCACTGAGATTCTTCTGGAAAACAAACCATCTACAGCCTGCCTCTTATCATTACCAGCACCTAAAAGAGGAGCTTGGAGTGTGAATACATGCTCTGGCTGTGAAATCTTTGAAAATATGGATACAGCGTTTGATCTGTCGTGCAGTTGAGGTATGTGTTTTTCAATAGTGGTCTCACTGTGTGCCATCGTAGTTTTGTTTTTAGAGGATACTGTTACCAAGCAAGTTTTTTTGTGTTTGTGTGTATGTGGATGAACCGGATCAGAGAGCTGCTATGACATAATTGGATCTCTCTTTTTGAGTAAAAAGAGGAATCAGTTTATTGGCAATTGATACTGTTCTTCCTATAAATATTGTAAGACTGAAGTTTGTTTCATTTTTTTGTTAATTATTTCAAGAACAGAAATTATTATTTTTTTCAGTGCCCGAGATCATCATAAAACAGTATGATTTGAACTGAATTTTACCTAAAGTAATGTTTTCAGAAATGACTGTTTTTGTGTGTGTGCCATCATTAATGCATGTAAAGTGCTCTTTTTCTATTCATTGCACCTACATTAATGCACTAATCCATTTATGTGAATTTTTTTTCCAGCAGAACCATCAGTGGTGTGAGACCGTGAAGCTCAGACGTTTTACTGCCCCTCTCCCGGATCAACACAAACCCATCTCTGAACCCATGGAGGGTTCTGTTCTGACAGAAAGTGAAGTTTGGAAGGTTGGCTCGGAGACCAGCACAAGTATAAACACCAATGACAGAAGTATTGACTATTTGCCCCTTATGAACGACAACATAACTAATGAAAACCTGTCAAAAGCATCTGAAAACCCAGGGACCACAGTCCAAGAGGAGATCTGTGGCAGCATCCAGGAACAACCCGACCAAGAGGTTACATCAGATCAAATCAAGTCAGTAATTCCACATGAGCTGCGATTAGAAGAGGATTTATCTTCCTCTCAAACAGCAGACGAGAGCGATGAGCCACCTGCGGCAGCGTGCAAACAAGAGAGGTGTGTTAACCAAGCAGAGGATCCAGCAGATAAGATGTGCTTGGTATCTGGCCAACATAACCTTGACCAGGAGATTACCATACTGGTGACCAACCATGACTGTACTTTAGAGGATGAGGAGGATGAGGAGTTTGGGGAGCAGAAGACTTCCAGCTGCCCTGTTGAACCCGAGACTGTCTCTTCAGTTGAGGGTGGAGGAGCGACTGAGGAAGAGAGTCTCGATGGTTCCATCGTCGTGGTGAACGTGATTGAAGTCAGTCAAGTCCAGAAGACCAGCGTGATAAGCCACACATCAACTGAGCAGAATACCACCACTGACGAACCAAGATTGCCTGGAGATCCAGGGGATAGTAGCAATGAGACAAACTCTGGAAGCAAAGGTTCAAGCACCCCACAGAAAACAGACGCAAGTAGCACAGGCGCTAACACAAAGGCCTCGGTGGAAGTTTGCAGTCCGAAAGATCAACCCACAAAGCCTGAAGATGTAGAAGTAAAACTGAAGAAAACCAAATCAGCTGAAACCAAGGATGCTGGACGGCCTTTGCAAGATACGCTCGCCTTGACTCGGTCGCCTGGACGCACACAGCACGTGCAAACCCAGGTTAGCCTAGAGGTGATGTACCAGTCGGTGGCCACCAGCCCCATGACTCCTCCCGAGGGCTCCACAACATTCCTTTTTCCAAGCACCTTTGGAAAACTTGCCAACAAGTGTAGTACAGAGGTGGCACAGACCAAAGATGCCGAGTTGCAGGTGGGCTTGCAGGTGGAATTACGTTCAGTCGCCACGGCTCCTATGACCCCAATCGTTCTGACCCCACCTGAGGTAATTCCCGAGCCGGAGCCACGGGTCGGGGTGACACCAGAAGAAGAAGTGCCAGAACACGTGCAGGAGGTGAGCTGGGATGAAAAGGGAATGACTTGGGAGGTGTACGGTGCAGTGGTGGAGGTGACAGTGCTGGGCTCGGCCATCCAGAAACACCTGGAGAAACAGGTAAAGAAACAGAAGAAACAGCCTTTGGCCTTACCCTCTCCGACAGATGCTCTGCCAGCAAACCCAACCGAAACATCTATGACGATGCCTTCCAGTCCTCCCCCCACATCAGACCTTGGTGAAATCAGCCTGGCCAAAGGACAAAGTGAGGAAAAAACAGTGCAGATCGGCAGGCGTCGCAGGCAAAATCATTTTCGCCAGTGGTTCAGGAACATCCGGCGGCCAAGTTGTTGTTCAAGACCACGTCAAGATGAGGAAAACTAAGGAAGGCATGGTAGTCTAAACCATCTCAATAATCCAAATGAGACAATCTTTCCAAGTTTTGTGCACTTTGGACGTGCACAGGATTGGGTTTTGTTCAGTGATACACCCCTTTAACAGACTTAAGACATTTGAAATTACTTGTATTGACACTGCGTCACAAGAAGCCCCTATATGGATAATCATCATTTTTGGTTTGGTTTGATACACTGCAAATTCAGTCGTCTTAATTTCTCCTCACCCTTGACTTTAAAATGGCTCCTACCAGCTTTGCTGCTTTGAGTGTGTTTTTGCTTGCTTCTGTCAAGACTGTGCTACCCTGATGTTGTTGTGGTCAGTGAGGATCACTTTTAAAGTGCCCTTTTACAATATTTTACACTAATAATTTTACCTTTAAAATGTATACATTTCAAACATGTATATATGAATTAATCATGTACATTTAAGGAACGGTACACTACATTTAGAGTGACAGTACCAAGCAGAGGCTCATGCCCATTCAAAGTGAGGCACGTGCCCCCTCAGATTTTTAATGCAGCTTCCAAAAGACAAAAAATAGCCATTAATATTTTCTATATTTAATACAATCACACCAGCATGATTAGAACGTTCAGTGCGTCATATCATCAGCTGCTAAACTCAAATCTGTGTTCGCTGGCTGGCCCTGAGCCAGATACAGACGCGTTTTTACAGCTCTGCATTATAACCAATCACACACGATGCTGTTGAGCTTATGAATGCAATGACCAATCAAAGGTGTTCAGATGAGTCATCGCTAAAATGCCAGTGTTTTCTTCACTCGCTTGCGGTCTGAACCCTAACCGCTTTCTGGCGAATTCTCTAATCAGAAACAACAAGGTGCAAATGTTTGTACTAATCTGTAAGATATTAATTTCACAGTGTAAACAGCTTCAGTGATTTTAATGGGAGTTTTTGAGAGTGCTTGAACTAGACTGTCAGTGAAAATGTTATTTGATAATGTAATGTTATAATGTATGTTTTGTGCTCTCTTTCTGTACAATGAAAGTGTTATGAGTAGCCTAACTTGTAATGTTTTTATTCACATTCAATTTCTATGTTAAAGGGTTAGTTCACCCAAAAATGAAAATTCTGTCATTAATTACTCACCCTCCTGTTGTTCCAAACCCGTAAGACCTTCGTTCATCTTCGGAACACAATTTAAGATATTTTTGATGAAATCTGAGGGCTCTCTGACTCTCCCATAGACAGCAAGGTAACTACCACGTTCAAGGTCCAGAAAAGTACCAAGATGACCGACAAAGTAGTCCGTGTGACATCAGTGGTTCAGCTGTAAAGTTACAAGCTACGAGAATACTTTTTTTACGCAAAGAAAACAAAAATAACGACTTTATTCCACATTTTCGTCTCTACTGCGTCACTTGTGGACGCGCGTTCACGACAGTACCATGACGCGAGCGTGTGACGGAGCTGACCCAGATCCGGCGTGATGACGTCATTACACCGGGGCCGCCACGCGCTCGCGTCATGGTACTGTCGTGAACGCGCGTCCAAATTGTAAACAGACAGGTTTTTATGCATAGTTAATAGATTACATTATTAGGCTACTTTGACCATCATAGATCAACATAATCTATAAACGTAAGCATCTAGATATTTCATGATACAGTTAATGCGTTTGGGGTTGTTTCAAGGAAAAAATAAATAAAACATAAGTGCTATGTGTCCTTAAATAACACCCCCCAACTCATGCCCCCTCAAAAATAATGAGTGCATGACGCCCCTGCTACCAAGTACTGTGTATTAGGCAAATATGACCCTAGAAATTCTTGGTGTTTCAGGCAACAAGTAATAGATGATGTCTCTGTTTTTCCAACAGTGAAATGTTTGGAGTTCTTTGAGTTTCAGATTCTTCTTTTTCTAGTGGTTTTTGTATAACTTCGTAATTAAATGGGTTTGTCTTGTAATTGCAGTTCAGCTCAGCACACCCATAAGGAACACACCTTCAAGCCTTACATTACCTGTGATGTTTTGTGACTGTTGTGAGAACTGTAAAGTGAATAGTTTTGAAATTAAATAATGTCAAAGGGAAAAGCAAAACTTGATGTGTGACTCCTTTTGATAACGTGATACATTTTATTAGAGTAAAATACCAAAACAAAATGTATTTTTTTCAAATTCACAGAACATGCTAACGAATGATTGCACTTAGAACATATAACAATATACCATATATACTGTAGACAGCTTATGAAATATATACACCCTGGTCACCAATTTGGCCTAACATGATATGAGTTTTATTTAATTGATTTGATTTGACTCAGACCTAAACTTAGCAGAATGGTGCCAGGTAATATTTGGCAGGATACTCAAGCAGTTTTACTTTAGTTTCTGTTGATGCAGTTTATGCTTTTTGTTCAGAGACAGAAAAGAATAATTCAAATGGAGAGTTCCATTCTTCTGTATGACAAAACATTACAATCTAGGAATAGGTATTACATATTGGAGATTCCATAAATTCAGAATAAAAAAAAACCCAATAAATAATAATGTAAGTAAAATTTGACTTCAAATACTGTTTGAATTACTGCTTGTTTTTAGTGCACTGAGAATTTTTTTCTCTCCAACTCTTACATTTAAAAGTGCATTGATGATAACGGTCTTGTTTAGATTTAGAGTTTGTTCAAATTGAATAAATTATGAAATTGAAACTTTTCTCCTTTTTTGGCAGGACCAAGTATTAAAAAAAATGGCAAATAGGTGGAGCTCAGAGGTTGAATGTTAGAGATCAGTGGTGTCTATGGAATGGTTTGCAAAAGTGAGACTGGGGCTATCTGCACCTCTCCTCTTTTCTCGCTGGGCCAGTGCAGCACCCAGAGGCTCAATGTACGGAGATTCACTCCTTTCATCCTCCTCCTCTTCCTCCTGAATTACCTACCGCACAACAGAAAAAGTAAGTACTCAAAACATACTCAGCTAAAGAACTTATAAAGATTTAAGAAGCACTTGTGTCCCAGCATTTATAGAAAAATGTGTCTCTTCGCACTAAAAGTGGCACTGGAAATATGCTTGAAATCCGAGAAATTCAAAAGTCTGCCATCACATTGAAAAACTGTGATTCAAAAACACTTGGGAACTTTTAGGGTTCTGAATTAGTTTTTAAGTCAAATGGAATAAGAAATATTTCAGCTCTGTCACTAATCAAATAAGCAAATCAGTGACAATGTGAACGCCTTCGTGAATGCCTCAAATCATGCTGGAGAACATGATTATCAGGTTTTACACAAACCTATGGAGGTCATGCAGCCCGAGTGCTGCTGTTATTAAAGCAAAAAGATGACAACATAATTCTTCAATTTCATGTTATTTATTTATTTTTTCAATTAATTGTTTCACAAATTATGTTGACTTTTAGTAGTGGTCTCAGACTTTTGCTCCCCACTGTATATTATCTTTATTTTAATAATACATTTACCATCATTGGCATAGTGTCTTTCTCTGCCATGGTCATATCGATGTTGTAGTCCAAGGAATTAAGGCTAAAACAGAACAGACACACAACATACACACATAATCAGAATCTCACAAAGCACCTCTTCTGTATGAAGACACAAAGGACATTATGGGGGAAAAAGTTACCAGTAAAGACATTTTGGACCAGTAACGTAGCTTGAAATAAAATCAAACACATGCTTCAATTAGCATGTAGTATAGCTTAGTGTGATTCTGAGAAACATGGGATCGCCAACATTAAACTAAAACTACTGCTTGTGAAATTCATAATCTACCATTACCCACAGATTAGCGCAAACAGATGTTATCTGTCATGGAGAACCACAGTATTGGTCCTGGACAAATGGCATACTGTATCTTAAATGGATTTTGTAGATGCTATTTAAGTTCATTGGCAGAATGTGGGCTCCCATGACAAGATAAACGTGCTTGCAAATACTTCCATTGTAGGTCAGTGGTTTCCATCTCTTACAGTGAAGTCAGTTTTTGAATGTGCAATCTGATATCGTCTATTTTTTTAGATCATTTCAGAGCAGGGAATATCACATTTCACCTCTCACTGTCTAATGTAATTACATGAAATCACAAACTGCCTGAGACACCAGACAATTGCGATACATTATGTAACTGATAGGGCTGTTGATTTAGTGTTTTGATAATTTAGTATGATTAATAATAATAAAAAAAGTAATAAGTAAAGTGTCACATGCCCCTTGATCTATACACTACAAATCAAATGTTTGGGGCCCCCTTTTTTTTGTGAAAGAAATTAATATTTTTATTCAGCAAGAATAAATTAAATTGTGACAGTATAATAATTTTTTTTAAACGAATTAAAAAGTGGCAGTAAAAACATTATAATGCTACAAAAGATTTTTGTTTAAAATAAAAGCTGTTCTTTTCAACTTTCTATTTCTTTCTATCAAAAAAATCTTAAAGTGTCCATCACAGTGTCCATAAAAATATTAATCAGCACAAATGTTTTCAACACTAATGATAAGAAATGTTTCTTGAGCACCAAATCATCATGTAGGAATGATATCTGAAGGATCATGTGACTGAATTTTCAGCAGCCATTAGTCTTCCGTTTTGCTGTCACATCAATGAATTACATTTTAAAATAGACAAAATAGAACAGTTATTTTAAATTGTAATAACATTTCACAATATTACCGTTTTTACAAATAAGCATAAAACACTTCTTTCAAACTCTTGAATAAATGGGTTCCAAATGGTAGAGTATGCATTTTAATAAATTAACAGCCCTAGTAATTAAATAAATGAGGTAATTTAGCACAATTTGAAAATAGAATGACAGTGACGATATAAAATTAGGCATGTTTGTTGGTGAGTCTATAAAATTTTCTTTTTCCCGTAGTGTTTATAGTCTGTAGAGCACTGTTATGGTACCTCTCTCTGTCTGCGCTGGAGCCATCTTCGTCAAAGCCTAGGTCTGTGGCCGTGTCAATATTCATATTCAGCACTGGGTTTGCTCTGTGGAATACATATCAGACAATTTCACACAACAGCCTGCTGCTGAATCCCTGTTCAAAATTATATAATGGGCCATCATTTAAGGCAACCCGTGATGTCTGTCTTACCCTTCTTTGGTGTATTTGTTGGTTCCAGGAACAACAGGGCCGGTCTTCTTATTCTCTATGACCACTGTGGCAGCTGAATTCATGGCTTTGGCTGCCTTCAGTTTCCTCTTGTAGCTAAAGGGTAGAAAGAGACCCAGCAGCGTTAAGTTGAAAATCCGAAACGGTAGCAGACAGAATGAAGTAACGTGTGCATATGTGTGTGGGTGCACATCAAGAAGAGCTATTTTAAATCTGTTGAATCTGGTTAGCAGATTTGTAATGTGTGTGACCCAGACTGAGGTTAGAGGGTCTTCCATAATGCCATTGTACTGGCTCCATGCCTGATGTTGGGAACAGGTCTGACAGGCGGGTTCATGCAAGTTCACTGTAAAGTATATACACCCCCTACATGACCTGCAGTGCCTTCCCATCCAACTTGGGCATGGTTGCTAATTTTAGCCCTATAAATATTACAAATTATTTAAAAGTAGAAATATAAATGAATGGTATAATACAGAGACTGATAAGCTGTACCAAGAGCATCATTCAAACCAAACAGTAAGTGTTTCTTTAACATCATTGAAACTTGAATGGCTAATTCAGCAGATCTTACTTTCTTCTGATGCACACGAGTGAGGTGGTTGTTACAACAAGAACGATCACCAGTGCAGCCATCAAACCAATCATGATGAATACCTCTGTCTTAACATCTGTAGACTCGGTAACAGTTGTCGACTGTTAAGGAAATTAAAAAGAAATGTAAAAAAAAATGTAAAGCTTAACATGTTGATAACCTTCATGATTAACTTTTGGAGTATTGGGAGGGGGATTGTTTTTTGTTGTTGTTGTTGTTACTTACAATGCCAGTAAATCCAAGCTGAGTTAGTTGGTATCCATGTTCCTTGTAGACCTCCTCTGAATTCAGGATTGCGGTCACTGCATCATAGTCAAGAGCTGTGCCGTTTGGGAACACAAAATAAGCCTCCAAAATGGTCATCTCTTCAGCTCTGCAAAGGACATAATAAATTCTGCTGTCATTGTTTTATAATTTTTTTATTATTTATATGCTATTATAGCATTTATTTATATATTAAATTAGCATTTTTATATTTTCAGTTTTTATTTTACTTTTAGTAATTGTTTTTGTCATTTTTATTAGTTTCTTTTTAAATTTCCAATTAGCTTTAATTTATTTGTTTTATTTCAGTTTTAGTTATAGTATGTTTAATAGTTAATCTTAAACTTATTTTATTTAAGTTAGTTGCCAAGGCAACGTTACTCATTTTAATTTTTAAAGTCATTTTTAAGTGTTTCCATCTAATATTTATATATTTATTCCTAATCCAGTTGTCAAATAAACCTTTGTATATTAGATAAACCTGTCACGGCTGTGTCGAGGAAGGCACACGAGAACAAAGATACAAACAATAAGAAGTTTAATAACAACCAGGTAGAGGATTATCCACAGATATGAGGGGTAGACACACACACACACACCAACACAAACATATATGTTGACATAAAATACCAAACGAAGACTAGAACTAAGGAGTGAGTTTAAATAAGGCAGGCAGCTGATGACACACAGGTGATGGGAATTAACTAATGAACACTAATGAATCAATGAACTAAACTAGGACAGGAACAGAACCAAATAAGGGCACAGATGAATTAAACAGACCAGAAGACTAAACAACAAAAACAGTTCATAACTGTTACAAAACCATTGTATATTACAAATATTGTTGACTCCTTGAGAAGCTTTTGTTCCACTTTTTGAAGTCGCTTTGGATAAAAGTATCTGGTATATACATAAATGTAATGTAAATGTAAACGCATTTTAATTAACATATATTTTTTATATATAGTTTTAGTTAACTATAACAACACTGAACATTCTTTAAAATGTCTTCTTTTATATTCCACAGAAGAAATAAAGTTATACAGGTTTGGGGGAGTATTTGAACATATTTGGGTCCCTTGAGCAGTAATATAAATATTCTGTTTGTAAATACAGTATAAAAAAATGATATGATCAGTAAGTCATGGCAACTTACGTTTTTACAGTAACTCATCAAAATACATTGAGCAATTTCAACTTCTTTGAGATTCAACTCGATTTTTTAAGTAAGTTGAAGTTACGACTATGATGATTATACTTCAAAATTTAAGCCAGCAACTGAACTTGAAATGGGTGTAATTTTATTTTTACAGTGTAGATACAATTGTGCTGGTCTCTTGCCAAAATTAAATCCATAATTCTCTGTAATTATGCCAAATAAAGGAAACGTTTGCTTAATAACAGTAGCACTGACAAGACAGGAAATCTACATGGAATTTTGAATCTCTTTGGGAGAGAAAATACAAACCGACTTGGATTTAGTCTATGATGTACCCGCCACCTGCTGGATTATACATATTATAACAGGAATGAAATAAAAAGATATTCCAGACTTAACATGAGTTTGGTGAGATTCAATTTAGTTTACTGTATATGTATACATGGGGATGTGGGTGATTGAATCTTACCGCTGAATAACCGTCTCACTAAACACATTGAAGAATTCCACCGTTGCTTTTGTAGCACTTATCAGAATCCTGTAAAAATATCAAACACATTTATTCCCTTTGACCTGAATTTGAAAAAAAGCATCAAATAAATAATAATCATGAATCACATTCCAAGTGTCCTTTAAAATAACCTTAAAGTGCATCTCTTACGCTCTGATCTGAGGCAAATTCTCATTGACTTCAGACACAGATGCACTAAATCTGAGACTGACTCTGTAGGAGCTGTCAACTGTGAGAAGCTGCAAAACAATGCAATTAGAAAATGACTAAAATAAACAAGACTGAATGAATTAATAATAAATCGAAGGGGTGAAAATACCCTACCTCAACCACAGAGGTGGAACTGAGACCATCAAGATTAGACACCTTCACCTGAACCATGAACTTCCCTCTTTTATTATTTTCCATTGCCTTCTGGGACCTGGACATTATGAAGAGACATTTGCTTGTTTAGTTCCTTTGGGGTGTAACCAGCCACAACAACATTTTGACTGATGCACATTAAATAGTTTCTATTTTCAGATTCTGTTTTATCTTATTCACACAGCATTTAAGCCTTCAGCATGGACAGACAAATTATTTAATGTTGGAAACTTGCCGCATCGCACCACATTATGCCTATTTGTGATTTACAAACAGGTTCGAAACTTTAATTTATCACCGTATATGTGCAGTGAACCTTCCGTCAGCATCTTCCTGATCGGCAGAGTCGGCGTAGAGAAACAAACTCTCTGTGGAATTCCCTTCACTGCTAACAAAGTCCACCTTGGTAACTTCAAATTTGGTTTTCCTGTTCTCTCCTGTGTCTCTGTCTATGGCCTTAAAGGTGTAAAAGGAAACAAACCCGGGGAAATACTTTATGGAGACTCAAAGACATTATATTGTAACATAAAAAAATAACATAACAGTGGATAAGTGTTTATTACAGCACAAAAAGTAGCATATAAAGAGACCTCAAATTGTCAATAAGTGAAATATCACACTTACATAAACTCTGCCAACAGATGTGCCCACCTCAACTTTCTCAATGACTACAACTAGAGAAACAGAAATGTTAAAAAATTTTCATAAATAATATACATTTGCTTATATGTCAATCATTTATTTATTTTTGAATATAATTTTTGTGTACCATAGAAGTCCTGCAAGACAACAAACTCTGGGGCGTTGTCATTGATATCCACAATATTAATAGTGACAACTCCTACAAGCAAGTGAACAATATTTTATGAATATTTAATGCACTCAATAAAGACCAAAATGATTAATGGTACTGGTTAATATGAGCGAGGAAATTGGAAAATACATAAAATCTTTTTTTAACTTAAAGGATTTGTGCACCTAAAAATAACAATTTATCCACATATTGTACAAGTCCTGTATTTTTCTTAATTTTTTAAATGTTCAAGTTTGAAATCACTTATAGCTAATGAATGTCACATAAACGGTCGTGTTTGACAATATGCGACCAGAAATTAAATCTAAAATTGTAAAAAAAAAAAATTGCAATTGGAAAGGACCATCCTATTTTTTATTCATTTGTATTTTTTTTATGAAAAACACCTGTTTTGCTCTATTCACGAAAACAAAATTATATGAATTGGAACATTTTTAGGGTGAGCTATTCCTTTAACAACAGAACATACTATGAAAAAAAGGCTAGCGCAGGAAAGAAAGCACTTTTTAATGGACAATATGATGCAACAGAACGTACCTTCAGTACTGTCTCTCCTCTTCTCAGTTAAAACATCCACCACCTTGGCATTCATGAACACTTTATCACATTTCTCATAGTCAATATCATAGACAGTATTAGTTATCACATCACCGTTACTCTCAACTTTGAACCACTCTTCGGGACATGGACCTCTGACGCCATTGCACTGGCATTCAGTAGAATCAAGCTCATATTCTAGAAGGTGTTCAGTGTCCACATCTTTGCCTTTGATTGAGCCCAGAGGCATTGACAAGGTGCTGTTCTCTTTTACGCTCAGGGTCATGTCGGATGGGAATTCAGGTGGAGTGTCATTCACATCAACCACAATTACTTTCACTGTTGTCTCAACCTTTTGCTGACCCAAGTCCGAGGCCTCCACTGTTAGATCGTACGTCTTGCGGTCACTTTCGTAGTCCAGCTCAACAGCGGGATCCACCGTGATGTTGCCCCTGTAACCTTCACTGATGTTCTCACTAAATAATATGAAACTTCCAAAACTACCATCAGTAATACTGAAGAAGATACGATTATTGAAGTCTGATTGGTCGCCATCGTGAGCCCGCACAGAGCCAACCCATATGCCTATAGAGGGGAGACAAAAAGTTGTCCGTTTTTACAAAATGTTCATATAAGTTATTTCTTGAAAATAATTATGCAGTTCTGGAAATGTACTAAAAAATTACTTAAAATCGTAATGAATTTGTTCAGAAAAAGCACAAGTTACCTCCTTCACTTTCCTTTACTTTAAATTTGTAGGGAGCAGGATCAAGGTACTGTGGAGAATTGTCATTTTCATCCTAGGAAAAATAGAAAGAAAAAAGTAAGTTAATTAATGAATTATACTTCAATATATTTCTAAATCTATTTTTAATAAATGCATATAAATATATGCACATTGTTTATTGTGAAGACAATAAATGATCAATAAATCAATAAATGCTAACTATATAAATGCTGCACTCTCACCCCAATGTTGATGGTCACTTTGGCTGTGGAGAACAGGGATGGTGTGCCCATATCTGAAGCGATCACCATCAACTCAATCACACCATCTAGGGCAGGGTCCATAGCCTCACGGTCCAATCGACCATTGTTTTCCAGCACACCAGAGTCTTGGTCTATGGTAAAGTTACTACTGAACGGGCTGTTGTCAATGCGATACTGGATTATGCTGTTTGGGTTTTTTGGGTCGTCTCCATCTGTAGCCTTTCAAAATAAAAAAAAAAAACAGGTTTTCCTTTAGAGACATAGAGACTTCCATTACATTTATTCACTTGACAGACACTTTTATCCATAGCAACTCACAGTAATTTCAAGGTATACAGTTTTTTCTGTGTTCCCTGACAGTCAAGTCCATGACTTTGCTAGCGCCATGCAACTATCTACTAGTTACGTGAGTAAAATTGGCATACAAAACATTCACACAATCTATCTTCATCATTTTAGATGTCTATGCTGATTTCTCAATCACCATTACATCCATAAAGTTACCTGGATTTTAAGCTCTAATTTTTGGTTCTCTATAAGCAAGTGAAGTGACAAAAAGAGTCAAACGTCCAGTGCTGCTATACTGTAAACTATTTTCTTGCAATACTGCTTGACCAGTCAAATTAAGCAGCTGAAACGAACTTTCTTGTATAAAGGTAATTGTTGTTTTATGGCTGGCTACTATCATAAATGCCACCCAGTTTAAAATAATGTAAAAATAATAGAAAAATATTAAAATAATATTAAAATAATAAAATCTTTCCTGGTTTCTAGTCTGGTGTTATTAACTCAGGTAAGTGCAGTAAAGACCACTCTCCCCTGTGTTTGTGACTGGCATGTTCTTCAGTATCTGTAATCACTCTAAAAGTAGGCAAGGTCCTTTTCTCTAAGCTAGTATACAGTAATTCTGGCACTGGCCAAACTACTGGGCCTCGGCTATCTTATGCGGTAAATCTCCAGAGACACCCTCATATACAAACCTGAACAGACATTACTTTCTTCTTCTCATAATCAACAGCAGATGAATCTTTTATTATCACTTGCACAGAACTTTCTCCCACCCCAGTGCTGGGACTGACAGCGAACACATCCTTATCAGGTCCCTGAAGACGGAGATTAAACCTGCTGTTTAGCCCCTGGATCATAGATAAAATAATCGTCAATATACGAAAAACATAAATAATCATCATAAAAAAATCTCCTCAGAAGAAACCATGCAAATGTTGTAATTACAGACCTGGTCTGGATCTTTGACTCTTATATTCAGTTCATTTACTGACAGTCCTGCAGATGAATTCTCATCAACTTTGCCTATGAAGCTGTTTTTCTGTGTGCAGGTTTCAATTTCACCTTCACACTCATAAAATTCAGGGCCATTGTCATTCACATCTCCAATAGAAATCTGTAGTTCTCCTATTGTGCTTGCAATAACTCCATCCACATTAACATGTGTTTCACTTCCCTGAAGTACAGGAAGAAAAAATCAGCAAAAATAAAAAAAACTAATAAAAATCATAAAAAATCATAGATTATGATAGGTACTACAAAGGTTAAAAGTATACAGTGACATTAGTTTGCCGCCAAATATTGCTGCCATTAAATTGTAATCAACCTGATATCATAATAACAGGATAGAATTAAATTCAGAAATCAGTAACTCACCTTTATTTGTAACATTACCACAGCATTTTTATCCAGTAATTCTTCACGGTCAAATACAGTTTTGATAGATATTTCACCAGTCTCATCATTGATTTGGAACAGGTCTGGTGCATCAGCACCTGTGCAACAGGACAAAAAGTCATTATGGCCTAGAAGCTGTTCTACATAAGGTGGTCTCTTCTCATGGTGGCTGCCACATTAAGATCACATTACCAGCAGAATACTACTTACTACAGGTGCATCTCAATAAATTGGTTTTATGAAGTATTCTAATTTGTTGAGATCGTAAATTGGTGGGTTTTTGTTAAATGTGAGCCAAAATCATCACAATTAAAAGAACCAAAGACATAAACTACTTCAGTCTGTGTGCACTGAATTTATTTAATACACGAGTTTCACAATTTGAGTTGAATTACTGAAATAAATGAACTTTTCCATGACATTCTAATTTATTGAGATGCACCTGTATATCTTAATAATTGGTGACAGAGAATAGAGTATGACATTTGAGAGACTGTTTACAATTGAAAAAAAATTAAAATACAAATTATTTTTTTATTATTAAGTCCAAGTGCATTTTTTAAATAAAATTTCCAATTTACTGACTTTCAATACTGTAGTGGATCTGGTCATTGATCCCAGTGTCTGGATCTCTGGCTCTCACAGTAAAGATTGTTGCACCCTGAGAATTTACAGAGCGAGATTCAAAAGTGAGAGATCATTACGTGTGTGTGTGTGTGTGTGTGTATGTGTGTGTGTGTGTGTGTGTATGTGGATCAAGATTTACATTAGACAACAAGCTGTGCCCAAACAGTACCACAATAGAAAAATTGTTGAGTTTACATTAAATGTCCTTAAAAAGAAATACTGAAAAAGAAAGAAAGAAAGAAAGAAAGAAATGCCACTCACCACAGGTGAATTCTCATCAACAGCAGCAAGGTCAGGTAAATTCAGAAATTGTGGGTCGAGATTTGGCATATCCTTAACTGTAATGAATGCAATTACTGAAGAAGATTGAACCACGTTTTCTTGATCATTCAGTGGCCCACCACCATCCTGATGAAACCAATGAACAGTTAGAAAATTACAGAGTAAACAGCTTGGATAAAATTTGTAGATTTTGGGATTTCTTTTTGCTTGTTTTGTAAAAATAATGAAATATTGCAATGTTTTTATGCATCTTTTTTTAAGTGTGCATCCCATACACATATATTTTCCCTCATTCAAAGAAAACCCCATCACTTATCTGAATATAATTACTTCATAAATAAATACTTACAGATGCAATGATTCGTATCTGATAGAAAGGACTTTTGTCAGTGAAGCTCAAAGGTCCCTGCAGGACAACAATTCCAGTTGTCGGAGAGATTGAAAACAGGCTAGCCCCATCATTTGGTGTCACCTAAGACAAACTTACTGTGTTATGAATACAACTAAAGTGAGATGCTGGGGTGAAAATGCAATTTATGACTTGAAGGGAACATACATCATCAATTTTGTAGGACACAATAGAAGCTGTGCCAAAATCATAATCTATGGCATTTGCTCTGAACAGTGTACTGCCCACAGGTTCATTCTGCCGGAGGGAATAAAAAAAACATATAAATTTGAACAAACAGCTCAAACTATCCTGAAAAAAATTAACAAATGCACATTGTCACTTCTTGAAGCTCTCTCTGTGCTAAACACCTCAGACTGAGAGTAAAGTTAAATTGGAGCAGATTACAGAATTAACCCAGCTGATTCACACAGGATCAACACCATCACAGCTTGTGGATCTTAGCACCTCTTAAATGATTAGTTCACCCAAAAATAAACATTCTGCCATCATTTACTCATACTCATGTCATCCCAAACCTGTTTGCTTGACTTTCTTCCGTAAGATGTAGACTTTTGTACAACAATGTACTTGTTACTTTTTTCAATGCAATTACAAACTTTCAAGCTTCAAATGGGACACAATAGCACCGTAAAAAGAATGACTTGTGCGTAATAGTCCAAGTCTATCTTCGGCCATGCCATACAATAGCTTTATGTGGGGGAAAAACTCAATTCAAGTTGTACATTTATAATATTCCCCTAAAGTGTTCAACACACTGACTCAATGATCCTGTTACTGAGATCATTCGTGAAAAGGATCATTAAAAAGATCCGACCAAAAACTGGAGAGCTATATTTACATCCATAATACATACAAAGGATAAAAGGCTCACTCACCTCTGGAACCTCTTCATTGTAGGGCAGATTTTGAAATACTGGTGCATTATCATTAGCATCTAAAACAGCAACATAAACTGATTTTGTCACCTAAAAGGGCAGAAAGACATGTTGGGACTCAGGAAATTTAATTTTCTGAGCATTGTGATACTTCCAGTAGGTCCAACTTACATCTGCATAAACACCATCATTCACCACAACCTCTATGAGTAAGAGGTCTTTTGTCTGAAAAAAAAGAAAACATAAACATACACAAAGTTAACCGGTTGTCTTTTATGAAGAGTAATTTTAATAAAAATTGCAATTCCCAACTTTTGTCCCTTCACCTCAATTCAGGAATAGAGAGCAGACTCTAACTCCTAACAAATACCTCTCTGTCCAGCATACTCTTGATTCTGACTTCACCAGTCTCTTTGTCAACATCAAAATGACTAGAGTCTGTTCCAGCGATACCATATGTTAGAGGGTCACCATCTGGATCAAATGCTTCGATCTGAAAAGCAAGTACACCTGCCGGGGAAATACATAATTAGGAAAATGTTACATGCATACAAAAATGCAAAATGGGATTGAGCATATAGTAGAGACTAAAATGTACAGACCTACTGGACGATCTTCTCTCACATTTACCACAGCCATGTTAATCACAGGGATAGAATTACAGTATGCTGCAGAAAACACAAACATGAACCAGCATATGAATCATAATACAGCAATTCTAAGAAAAAAAAATCTTATTTAAAAGAACTACATTTGTGAATTCTCCTCTGTAAGTGACAGTAAAACTTAATTACACTGGCTTCTGTCCACAGAGTGTATCATTATTGATTTGGACTTTGAGCTAATGCAGTGTAACAAGCCACAACTTTTTGATAGGCCTTGATAAAATGGACACTGACTAATTCCCAGATACTCACAAGAAGCTAAAAAAGCAAAAAGGAGAAGTAATGGTTTCCCCATCTTCTCTATTATTGTCTGTAAGGCTGTAATATCAAAGAAACATAACACAAAATCACCATTAAATGCAGAATATTTCCACCTCCAAAATTAGGTGATAGAACGTTATGAAACACACACACACATTTATTTATTATTTATTATATATATATATTATACACATTTATTACATATATTTATATATATATATATATATTTTTTTAATTCAGAACTTCTTACATTTTAATCCCTGGAATGGTTGAATATCATAAATTTGCACAAATTTTTCATCCAATATACCCGTAGCTAAGTAAAATCACAGCTTATATCTTTTTAATATCTCAAATATTTCTCCTAGACATCAATGAGATTAAACTGAGACTTTTGCTATAAAGTCCCCTGCTTAGATTTGTCAAGATACCATAGTCTACAATCAAAATGTACATACCCATCATTCACAAAAGAATAATCTCTAAAAAAATAAAGCTTTATAAGCTCTTGATCTGCATGCCGTCACTGAATGCAAATAGACATACGTTGAAAATGATATAAGGCTGATGAAGACTTACCGTGGCCAATCTGCTCTTAGTGCTATTCCAACAAGTGGCGTTCTTCAAATGAGCGAACAATATATAATATACAAGACCTCTGTCTAGTGCATCAGTGGCTATTGCTGTCCTTCAGTTGTCAACGTTATTCATTAACATTGTAGCAGAGAAAAGGCTGTGTGTTTAATACAGTCTTCTCACCCTGATGACAAAGCTGCTTAGTGGCACCACAGAATCAGATCCTAAAACAGTGTTCAGAGAATGGTTTAGAAGAACAACAAGTGTGGGTAGGCAAACAAATGTCACAACACATTATGTCCAGAATAATCCGTTCCATTCACACATTAATTCAGCAACTCCTGAGCAAACTCAAAAGATACAAGATTAATGGAGGCTGGAACAGAGCACAGAGAAATAGCATGGAGAGAAGAAATGTTTTCCTATGTTATTCCTATGTAATATATATAATAATTATGGTTGAAATAAAGAAAAATTTAAATATTTATTTTACCTGATTAGATGAGACCATAAAAGCTATAAGAAACCACAGGACAAAGGTATGGCGTAGCACCATTTCTAGTGAAGTGTTTAGCAGGGCGTCTACTTTCTAAGCCAACTATAGAACCATGCATCTTTAGATCCAGTTTTTATTTTCTGGCTATTTCTCGGCATCACTCTAGTGAGCTGGACATAATGTAATCTGAGAGATTCCAGGAAGCAAATGAGCTCATTAGCTATTCAATAACCTACCTACCCTCTGCTCGGCTCTACCCTCAATGAGCCCACTTCCCTTGTGGGCCTTCGTAATTAACGAGAGACAGACAAAAGATTTCTCTACCCTGGAGAGAATCCTTTCCGCTATCAAACAAAAACAATGGAGGAACTTTCTCCTGAGGCTGACAGAAGAGCTTGTGTTTGTCTCTTAATTGTTTGCCATGCTGGACATGCTGTGGAATGAGGGATCAAACTAAAGCCACTAGAGGCCTGAAGATCAACTAATACTAAAATTCATTTTTATTAGCAGCAACATATGCTCTATTTTGAATTATACAATTTATAATATATATATATATATATATATATATATATATATAGTGTTAGAATAGTACATAAAAATAGATAAATCTATCATAAATCTGTTTACTGGACCTTATATATTGTAAAATGTGACCTGTTCATGCCACATGTATTACAGTACACTAACATGCCACCCTAATATTATCTTCTTAGATTTTGGTTTATGATTTAGCACAATGAGGTGAAATGGCTGAGGCCCAATGATCATAACCGACGTGTCTTTAGTGATAGGCACGTTGTGTAATTATGCTGGGAAATGAAATAACATTTAAAGGAGTCATGCCATAACATAACATTCACTGTAATAACAATAAGACTGTGCAATAAGTTTTGGTTTGATTATTATACATATAACCACTGTCTAGTTAATCATTAATAGAGCTAATAGATTTCCATAACACCAAAGTGTTTCGCTAATAATTTATTGCTGTCAACAGTGAAGCCATCTCGCTAACCAAAGGTTATGAAAAGTATGGACAACATACTTGTTAGACCTTAGTGAACATATACATTCTAGATGGTGTTTTCATATGATTTATAAAAGAGAAAGACCCTCACTAACACACGTTAAGTAACATTGTAACATCTTTTTTTTATTAAGAAGCAATGTGAGAACTGCGTGATGGTGCATCATCTAGTGCAGGGGTGGGCAAACTTGGCCCTTCCAGGCCACTTTCCTTCAGAGGTTAGCTCCAACCCTAATCAAACACACCTGAACCAGCTAATCATTGGCTTCAAGACTACTAGAAGGCTACAGGCAGGTGAGTCATATCAGGGTTGGATCAAATTTCTGCAGGAAAGTGGCCTGGAAGGGCCAAGTTTGCCCATCACTGGTCTAGTGTCTATAGCCTAGTTCCTCTTCTAGCCAGTAAGGGGAGACAAAGCAAAGCACATTCTAATCATAGACTAGAATTTACGTAATGTGACCCTGATTAGTTTTTCCATAAGGGATGCAAGAAATCTAATTGATAATGACATATGCCTCCCTCATGATGCAAACAGCTTTAATAATAAAACAGTGCACAGGTGTAATGTCATCATCATCATTATGAAGTAAAAAATAATCAAGTCAGCTATCTATTTTTGTCATTGAGGATGCCCGACGAGGATTTAAGCTTTCATTAGTTTTTATTCAATGCGGAGAACAGGATAATAGGACAGTCTATGCAATGACCTAATCGTAGCCCTGTGATATTGTTAACCAAGATTTGACATTGGGACCTCGTGAGGACAAACTCGTCCAGTGTTTACGGTAGAGCAAGACATCTGTGGCAAGCCGTATTAACATTAATTCCTATTCATTCCATAACTAGTATCTTTTTTTCGGTATCTGTTTTACCTGGCATGGTTGAATATCATAATATCACATCCACTAATTGTTAATTCAGTGTACCTATATGAAAGTAAAATCACACATAAAATCATAAAATCTTCCAGACAGAAGAGAGATTCAATGTAGAGGAAAGAAGACTAGGCTACTAGCACTTCTTAATTAATAGTAACAGTTTGAATCGTGATCTATTTCAGTTTTACTAGTACTTAACTGAAATAGCATCTACTCCAATTGTTTAATTGTCTCATACCTCTGACAAGTCAGAATGGATACTTTATAGTTCATTACAAATTCATAGGCTACTAATTAACAACTGGAATACAAACTAGTGTCTAATAAAAAAGACTGTGCTATATTTTAACTGTTACAAGTAACTAAAGAATAAACACTAGCTCCTATTTCAGTAGGACTTAACTGCAAATTGTGTGATTTGTTTGATTGTATTTATCACTATGGAAGTGACTGCTAGCAAAGGTACAACTTATTGTAGCCAATGAATAAGTAATAGTGACTAATTCAATACGTACTTGTCAATACTGTATAATAGTGACTAATTAATAGTAATTTCTACTGAAATACTAGTATCCAATCAGTAAGTACGCCTACTAGTATTTAATAGACAGTTATTGACACTGAAAACAATACTAGTTGGATAATTGTTATTTACTAACAATTAACAATTATAAGTAGCTATGGAAGCCAGTCCCCGCCACCAGGTAAATAAAGGTAACTGCAACCTTTCTGACTTTTTTTTTCTTGCAAATCTCATTTTTTTTATCTTAGAATTTTCTCAGATATAAACTCGCAGTTCTGAGAAAATAAAATCAGATTTGCAGATTCTGATTTTTTATTTTTTTATTCTGAGTTTATTTTCTCAGATTTGCACATTTATATCTCGTAACTTTCTTTTCTTTCCGTCACATGGCGGAAACAAGTTTCCACGAAGTAGCACACTAGTATCATAAAACACACTATTTCTACGGAATAATGTTCAAACGGCTTGCCATAAATCAGCGGCCTCTAAAAGCCCCTCATAGGGGTATGTCACAAAAGCACGCAAACAGGCGGCGGATGATGCCGGGTTCACCCGAGTGCACTGATTTCTCCGAAGTCTAATGCACTCAGAGAGTGGTAGTTTTGCGCGAGATGCGAAGAGTAATGCCATATTCTGCCTTTATTCCTCCTTTATTCCTCGACCTCCAGTTTGTACCTTTTTCCCCCAATTCAGTGGTGAAATCCACGGAATGTTCCATTAACAGGAACAGCTGAGGATCATGCCGCACCGAATATGGGAGAGATGTGCAGGATTACAAGGAGAAATGTCCGCGATTGAGATGCTCACAAATTAACAATCAGGTAACGCACGCGCCTGAGTCTTCGCGTTGATGGCGTGGATTTCCGTGGGTTTTCACGGTCTTGAATGCATCGCACATAGGTATCGGCGTGTTTTTATGCGTTGTCCCCCTAAAGCTTTGAGCCCCTCCTTGTTTTGTTGCTGTAATGCTGTAATGTTTACATTGGATTGGAAGTGCATGGATGGATGGGACGCGGGTTTGCTCGTCTCGCGCTTGCCTCAGATGTGCGTGATCGTGTGCACGCACAGCGCATGTTAAGCTAGAATCTGATTTATTTGAGTTATTTTCCCGTGAGTTAAACATTAGCAAGGAAGGTTACATTGCGGTGTTTTCTCTGCAGTGAAGCCAGTCGAGAGGCCCTTTGAAAATGCTGCAAAAATGATTCCGACCTATGCGTACTCAGACGAATTAAACGCAAAGATTGTTGTAAAGAAAAACAAATGCTACACACAGCCCTCATCGTTCACACACAGTCTGCTTCATGCGTTGTATGATGCATTTCCTAGAGCAAGTAAAATCCGTATTCTTTAAGATTTCAGTTCATGAACTTGAAAAGTGCATTGAATAAAGTAGATGTTACTTTGACCGCCCCTCAAGTAAAGACGCTTGTATGTGTTTCTGTCCGCCGGCTCGCCATTTGGCGCAAGGCTTATGTAACAGACTGGGCTGTGTCACACTGTCTCTGATGGAGAGGCGGATGAGAAATGCTAGAGAACACAGTTAGATGCTCTCCAACATGATGTTCTTTCCTGCTTTTCATTTAGTCCACAATAATAATAACAACAACACAAATAATGATAATAATTATTCATAATAATAATAAATACATTATTTTACTATTATTATACCAGAATTAAAAACAATGCTTTGCAATGACACTTTATATCATACATGAATGTATATAATAAAATCACAAAAACAGCTTAAACATGAAAACTTAAGCATTTTACTCTCGTTACCCTTCAATTTTATTTTCTAGTAATCATTATCATCTTCAGAATCATTATATTGTAGGCTAAACTATGTTAAACTTTGTAGTTAGATGATGAAAAAGGTCATTTGTACATTATGTCCAACATAAATTGTAGAATATATAATAATGTAGTAATTTGCATGTTGCAGTGGTTTAGCTAATTACTCCGAACAATTCTGTAGAAACTATAAATCCTATATTTTACTCTTTCTTGATTCCATTTATAAATGCTATGAAACATGAACATATAGGAGATGGACAGTTTTTATAGAAGAAAGCAAGAGATCCATGAGTTACCTTTGTGGGTAATCAGAAGTTCAGGAAGTGGAGAAAAGGACTTCCACTTGCAATAACGGTTTGTTCGTATTTATTTGTTCTTTTGAAGCATCGCTTTGATTCTTTGACATGCTGTTTTACCTGATTTAAGATTATATTTACCTTGTGAATTGCAATGTTTTAAAGGAATTAAATAAGATGCTCTCTGACTTATACAATATGACTGTGTTGCATCACCCTTGTCTGATAACTGCAACACATCCCTTGTGACAAACAACATCCCCTTTATCTGGGACTACCAATGCAACCTCAAAATGAATGTCAGTGGCATAATAAATCATCACCGATAACACGCTCTACCTGCTATGCTTGTGTTTAATGTTTTGACTTCTGCAAAACACAAATCATCTGACTCCATCTTTTGGATTGCAGAACACTTTTGGGAGCTGAAACGAACCCTTATAGTGTTTTCACACATTGTTTTTTTTTGCGATCTAGCGATTTGCATGGATTTTGACATACATTTGAATGCTCCAAAAGAAGAAAGTAAAACAAAACAAACAAACAAAAAAAAAAACCTATTACCTATTTGTTTGTTTCCTTTGAAAGCAGGCCTTTTCACGTTAAGTTCATGGTCATTTTTTAAGGAGTAATTCACCAGAAAGTTGTGTTGTTCACTCACTGTATGCTGTTAATTTTTAGTTGTCTATTTTGAGAAATTTTAAAGAATGCAAATGTTTCTATTTTCCATGCAATAGATGTTTATAGTGACCACAGCTGACAAAAAGCTAAAAAAATCACCTTACAAGTCATTTTCACTAAGAATTTGTCATTTGACATGCTTTGCTTGTGATACAGGCTAGAACAAAAGGATCTGTGAGCAAAAATAAATAAAACATTTTTTATTCTCCATGCAACACATGATGATCACTGGCTGTCAAAGTCAGTTGCAGTTTTTTTAAAAATAGATTTTTTTAACAAAAAAATAATAATAATTGTATGTGAGGTTGGGATTTGAACCAGGTTCCCCCTGCATGTTAAACAAAAAGTGTACCACAACTTACTACTTTGCCTCATGTTTTGAAAGCCTGTGAATGTCACTAATGCTATATGATGTACAGTATAACTTATTTGAGAGTACTATATTTGAATTTAAACATGGTGTATGTAAAGGTTTTTAGTAAATAATACATTTTTTAAGCATGTTCCTCACTCAAAGCTGTCAGAAGTCATGAGAACTACTTTTATGGTGTTCTTTGTGGAGCTTGGCAGACATGGTTGCTATGTACAGTCAGTGTATGGGGGAAAAGCAGTGAATTTCAGTACTTTAATATGTATAAATATAAATGTATAAAGTATAAAAATATAAATTTAAATGTATAAAAATATAAAATAATTTTTAATGGATATTTCATTTTTACTTGGGCTACAATCGGGTGTTTATATTTGCTTTTCAGGCCTTGATTATAAAAAAATATTATTTTAATATTATTTTAAATGTATAAAAACTATAAAATCTTTTGACATTTTTATTGTTACTTAGGCTACAATTGGTCTTTTTTTGTTTGTGTTTCAGGCCTTTAATACATATAAAAATAAATACATTTAGTTACAAATACAAATAGTTTAAAAAAAATCAATAAAAAAAAATATATACATTTAAAATTTGTAGTTGTTACTTGGGCTTCAATTGGGCAAATTGCATTTCAGGCCTTTTAATAAATATAAAAATAAATACATTTAGAAAAAGTATGAAAAACAAATCCTTAAGAGAACTATGGGACTGGACCCTAAACCAAAATGCAGAACTTGAAAGTTGAACATTCATGAGCCAGATTAAGGCATAAACTGGTAGTTTTGAGACCACTAGCATATAGACAATAATTGCATTTACTCAGACTTTGATGTGAAAGTGATATGTGTAGACTCAGACTGCTGTGATTATGAATATCAGAAGTAGTGGTTGTTTTTTTTTAAACACACATCCTGAACTTTTTGTGTTGTGTTGTGTTCAAGATGCATCAAGGATCAGTTCCGATATCTTACACAGTTACCACGGTGACGACCCATGGTTTTCCCATCCACACCGGGCAACCTATCCCAGCCTGCAATGCTCAGCAGCTCCCAGCATGCTCGGTAATGTTCAGTGGACAGCTCTCTCTGCTCTGCTGCCTTCCTCCTCCAGTGAGTTTGAAAAGGAAGAGCTGGAATGTCAGTGAAGTTTGTGTAGAGCACACCTAACATGTCCCATCGCTCCAGCTTTACTTTAGCCGATGTATGTGTGTCCCAGGCAGCCATTATGCCCACATGTCCTCTTAGCCAAAGATACTCTATTATGAGATATGATTTTTTAAATTGCTCAAAAGAAAACTTATTTTGTGCATTTCATGTAAATTATGTTGACAACATGGGTGGGTGGCATGCCATGACCAATCATCTTTGTATGAGTTATTTTATATCAAGGTAGCTGTACATTTTTGTAATGTTTTTACTGTAAATTCAGCACAAAGACATTTAAATAGTCATAATGCTGTTTTTTTTATTAAAAACATAAATGTAGTGAATAGTTCTTTTGCTGGAAATTCAACCAAAACAAAACATTGATTTAGTGTTAGTAGTAGTAGTTCTGTTCTTTTATATAATAAACCAATCAATGTCATTTGAGTTTCCATATTTTGATTATTTATAATTAGATGACTTTATAACTTGACAAATACAAACTAAAAGATAGGCTTGTTCTAAATAAATTAATAAATCTGCCTTTCATGCAAAATAATTTTCACATTATGTCCTGCTTTAGTTAAAAACAAGACTCAAAACCATACATACATTATTGGATGAGCAATGTTTAAAGGTTCAGAATGCTGAAAAACACAAAAAATGTTTGCTATCCAGCACTGCACGACTTGCGGTTTGTTATTCCCAGTTTTGAGTGTAGTGCACTAGAGTAATATATGTAATGTGGTTACTGTTCAGACAGTGTAATTAGTAAAGCAATCCCCTTACAATCTAGAGAAAACAATTAGTCATGAGTAACAGATTAGTCCACAACTGATTGTACTCTTAATAAGTAATTTAAAAAACAGTGTTGAATACTGCTGTGACAAAATGAATTCTTTCTAAAATAGCACATGATTTTATTGGTATTAATAGTCATAATTGTATGCTAGAGGTATGACTTTTTTACTTGTGTGTTCAGCCTCTGCAGAGGGTGGAGAATGAAGTGGATCTGCGAGGAGACCAGCATCCGTTAGGAACATTCTCTTATCCTCCAGCCCACCATCCACCAGCAATGACCCCCTCCGTGCCCCTCCAGTACCTCCCCCAGGAGCCCCTCCATCAAGAGCTACCCTACGGAGTGGTGAGATGTCTTTACTTTTGAATGTCAGTAAGCATATAAATTACTGTATACAAGTCAAAAATTAAATACTGATTCAAATGAGCAGCCGTTGCATAAACAGGTAATGACGTTAAACAAAAAAAGAAAAGAAAATGCCCTTAATGTAGATTTTGAATAATTGTAAACCACAATAGTAAAAACAAAGTTGGTCTTTTGGTCTATTTTTTGATGTTGGCTCGACATAGCTGTAGCGAATTTTAGCTCAACGACAGGAAATATGAATAATTA